GTATACATTGTTGCTCTTGAAAGGATCGATAACAAATTGTACACAAAATCGCGCTGGATATGCGAATTCTCAGGGGAGGCTACGGCCCCCTTGCCCCCTGCGAGCGCCCATGGCATGAAACACCTCAACAAATGAGTGAAATGCATAGGAATTCCGGAATGTCACGCAACGCGGCTTATGCCGAATCAGTCCAAAGTGACCGCGGACCGTAAAGTGATAATTTTGAGGGACGTGTCTGATTGAGTGCAATCCAGAATTGCTGGTCCGGTATCGGCGTCGAAATCTGTCGGTATGTATGTCGCTGCTATCTCGAAAGAACGGTGGCGATTGGTTCGATTCTCTTCAGTCTGCGGGCTGCCGTCTTGAACAGCAACCACGGCGACATTCCATTGGTTCTTGATGAGTGCGCAGGGACGGACTGGGAACATTCGGCAGAGTTGTTGATACGTGACTCTTTCATCTTTTTTAGCTTTTCTAAAGCTTTTGTACGGTTTCTTATTTCATAACGTAAGTATTTGTCCATCTCAACATAGCTTTATGAAAATCAGATCTGCTACAACTAATTTAGTCTGCTTCACCTACTTTGTCTCTGGAGAAGCAGATGCCAACGGACATTTGATAATGTACTCGTAAAAGCGCTTCACCTGGTGTGTGAAAGTTTATTGAACGTATTAAAAAAAACCACTTATAAATAGTGAACACAATTTTGATACATACATTGTTTTTCTTTTTAAAACCCACACTGCACTTTTTTGTATTTAAAGAAGAATGTCGTCCTCCACTTTCCACACAAGCTTCATTATGATCTTCACGAATAGTATGAGGACTTTCTTGAGCCCACGTGTGAGTATTATGGAAAAAAATACGGATTTTCAATGTTTTTGTGCAAAAACTACTGACAGAATGTTAGTCTGCGAAAATAGTCTTCTGGTAACAAGGCCTGTAGGATTCTATGGACTATGGTATGTGATAGTCGGCCTAATTCCCCCCCCCCCCCTATTACAAATTTCAATAATGACTATCATAACGTTGACACCCTGTGAGCGAAAGTGTGTCTGGTGAAGTTTACATGACAAAACGTTTGGTTTGGTCGCGCATGTCAAGCGTGTTGGTACTAGGTCCTTTATGTCTAAACAGAAAACTGTACAAGCCTGCTTGTCAGGATGCGCGTATATAGCCGTTAGTGGTCTTGTTTGTGGTCCACTTACTCACTTACTCTACCTGAAAAGAGGACCGGGAAGTTTGTACTGATTGTTCAACATTGTTTCACTTCGCACTATTTGATTCCTATATGACCGATACCAATAATCTATCAACAGTTCTCGTTAGAGTCATCGACCCACGTCACAATTATAGAGTATAAAGTGTGATTAATTTGCCCACTGTTGTTCATTTGGCGAGAGATGCATTCTCTAAATGGTACAAGCAGCAATATCATAACTGATTTAGTATTCTAGCACACAAGTTCAACAATATTTTAATTAAACGATCATTAATTTACTAGATTATCTCTGCCGAGAGTTAATTACTCTATCGTGAAATGAATATTAATGTTTGTTGGAGGAATCTTTTATGTATGAAGTTTACAACCGTGCAGTGCGGCGTGGAGTACATGATGCATTGTTGACAATGTTGCTACCCTTTTGGGAGAGAAAACTATGCTGTTAAGTGTTAGTTGAATCTAGGGATATTTAAAATAATTTCAGATATTTCAGATAAACATTTTTCTCTGCACGATTACATTTTACGTTATTTCTTATTTCCAGTTATCTAGAGATTTATTTTGCGATGTCAAGTAGAAAATGCAAATCAGTGCCTAGATGTGACGCACTACGAAAATGTTTTGTGTGTCGTGCCTCATTACTCTACTAAAGTTTTTGAAAACGCAGGAAAACCGTGATTTATAGCTTTGTACATAACCTATCTTCAGAAAGAACAACACAAACAACCCGTCTAGTACTCAACCGATCTTCTCAGAGATATACTGAACAGGTCTCGGCGTTCTGCTCACAGCTTGCAAACACGGAATGAATAGTACTCGTATTTGCACACTACACCGTCTAGTCAGCAAGTTGACATTTTGTCGGTTCAGTTTTTAAACCCTACATCTTTTTCTAAAAGTATGGGGATGTCCAAAACGGACGCAGGAAAGTAAACGCATATTAAAACAAGAAAGATTGATATTCAAATCAAGTTGGGTACTTTATTTTGAAGGTTCATTTATACCATTTATGTATGAAAAATAATATCGCTCAAATGTTCACCACGACTGGATTTACAGACGTCCACGCGATGGTCGAAATTTTCAATGACATTTTGCAACATGATCGGTTCTATGGCATTTATCTCGGCAATGATGTTGTTTTTGAGTTCTTGGAGGGTGGCTGGTTTGTTGACGTAGACTTTGCTTTTCAAATATCCCCATAAAAAGAAGTCCATGGCCATGGCACATTTTTTCTGCGCGAAATCACGCGATCACCGAAGGACTGCAATCGATGAATATTGACGTTGGTTGTGTGGCATGTTGCACCGTCTTGTTGGAAATAAACATCGTCCATATCCATTCCTTCAAGTTGCGGCATAAAATAGGCCTCTATCATCACGTAATATCGCTCAGAATTGACGGTAACGGCGTCCCCGGCCGCATTTTCGAAAAAGTAAGGTCCGATGATGCCTTTTGACCACAATGCACACCACACAGTCACTTTTTGAGGATGCATCAGCTGCTCTTGATACTCACGGGGATTTTCGTTCGCCCAGATGCGGCAGTTTTGCTTGTTTACCATCCCATTCAAAGTGCAATGCGCTTCGTCGCTGAACATGATTTTTGATGAAAAATTGGTATCAATTTGGCGGTGTTCAAGGAGCCAATCTGAGAACGTATGGCGCGAAAAATGGTCGGCCCGACGCAGCTCTTGCGTCAATTGGATCTTGTAGGCGTGTACATTCAAATCCTTGTGGAGAATGCGGAGCAAACTGGTTCTCGTAATGCCCAATTCTTGGGATCGACGCGTTGTTGATTGTTTCGGATCGTCTCTCACACTCTCCTTCACAACAGCAATATCTTCCGGTGTGCGAACGCTCCTTGGCCGGCCAGAGCCTGGCAGATTTGCCACAGAACCTGTTGCCTCGAATTTACGCACCAGACGACCGATGGTTGTTTCGTTTGGGCGGTTGTTGCGACCGAAATGTTCACGAAGCGCGCGAAACGTGTTTTTTATTTTTGCACCATTTTTGTAGTGCTCTTGAATAACTTTAATGCGGTCTTCAATCGAATACGACTCCATAGCGATCAATGGTAAACGTTCAACTAACAAAATGACATGTCGGTGACAGAAAACAAAGATGGCGTCTATGTCAAATTGACGTTTACTTTCCTGCGTCCCTATTGGACAACCCATTATAATAAAGAAAACGCGTCTTAGTTATTTTTATATTTTCAACTTATTGCCCCTAGCTTCCTCGCCTCTGGACAGAAAAATATATAGGTACCTACCAAGTTATAGAGGAGTCAAGGAATAGTGGACAGAGTGACAAACCGACAGACATATAGACAGACAACAGACACAAAACATAATATCTCGTTTTCAAATAATTTCACTATTACAATACTTTCTCGCCAGTGGTGTGGGAAGTAAAAGTGCTTCAATCCATATAGCCGCTTTGCACGATCGAATAAGTAGAACAATTTTTTAATCTTGAAGAAGTCGTTATTAATTTCTTCACAATAATAAATTCATGAATTGCCAGATTAGAGCTTCGTCAATTTTTTAGGGAATTCTAGTTACTTTTGTTTTTTTCTTAGATACCAACTTTCTTTATTAGATGCGTTCACGTTTTGTGGTTAAAATTATCCTTACAGTTTGACTTGACGCTTTAGTTTTAATTTAGGATATAACATTTTAATGGAAACAATCAGTATATAAGTATACTGTCATCTTTTTACTGGCTAGGTTAAATATACGTAGGTTATGTTTGGTGTTTTTTCCCTGAGGTTAGTATCATAGGAAGTTACTATACGAGGTCTGCAGATTTAGATATGAGACTGGCAACGTAGCGTTTCATCTGGCAACACTGGAAGCGCCGGGCCTGGAGGGGAGGCAGGCGAACATGTGATACGCCTTCAGTACGAGTTTGACCTCGCTCGAGTCATTTGGTTATCCGTATTGTTTTTTTTTGTGAAGCAGTGTTTCCTATTGTGTTCTGAAAATAAATGACATTTCTAGCAACAGTATGTTATCTGGTTTTGCTTCAGACTTGGGCACAGTGCAACGGCAACTATTGATAAACTTCAGCGGAGATAGTGTTTTATCAAGAGCCCACATTTTTCGGTGGTTTAGGCTTCTTCAAAAGGCAGAGAGTCTATTGAAGATGAACCACGAAGCGGAAGACCTTCATCTTCAAGAAGATGAAAATATCGACAGAATCCCGGATCTCGTGCGTCCAGATCGGCGGTTGACAGTCAGAATGATCGAGAAAGAGTTAAATTTGACTCACAATAAGAACAACTGGGTGTTGTATCTCGATAGTGCTCCTTGTCACACATCTATGTCAATAAACGAGTGGTTGGCGAGTAAAAGCATTCCTGTGGCTCCTCAGCCTCCTTATTCGCCTGATTTGAGTCCTTGTGACCTTTTTTCTCTGTCCGAAGTTGAAAAATCCCCTCAAGGAAACTCCTTTTATGACAGTCACAAATATTCAAATGGCTGTAATTGATCAGCTGAAGGCAACTCCAGTATCGCGGTACCAGCACTGCTATGGGGAATGGAAGAACCACCTCCAACGCTGTGTGGCTTCACAAGTAAGTCGTTTAGACAATATAATGCTTCAATTAAATAAATTTGACAATGTAATTTCGCTAGCTGCCACCTTGAAGAAATTATTTTTTTTGTGTAAAGCAGAGCGAGCTTTAAACTTGCAGGCGAGTCCGCCTCTGCGCCGGGGTACCTGACCCGCGCTACACGACCGCTTTGCCGCTCCTCGTACCGCGTACCGCTGCAGTCTTGCCGCCAGCCTGCCGGTACTTTCAGTCCTCTCGCGGTCTTCGTGACGTCAGCGCTACAAGCGCAGTAAGTCGCGCAGTCGCGTTGCGGTTGCAGTTTCGGTCGCGTTCCGGAATCTGCCCACTCCGGTCGGTGTGACGTCACTCGACGCCCGGAGTTGCGATTTCTACTGCGTGATACACGAACGTTCGCATTCTATCTCTGGATTACGGTTGTTTAGAAACGTCTGGTTAGGTATGTAGTGAAATGCGCGACACAAAGAGCGATGTTACAATATGCCATGCTTCACAATGCATTGCAGTTACTATAAACAGATGTGAAACAAAATTTATGTATAAAATTATACCCAAGTAACTGATGACTTGTACGAGCCCCTTCCCACTTCAGTTAGCCCACTTCAAAACTAAACATGACGAAACTATTTACTTCTAAAACAATTTATTTTCTCAAAAACATTTTAGATACACTCTAGTCGTAAAAAAATACATATTTTAAATCACTTAGACCTATAACTAATATTACATCTGAACAAATAAACAATGTGCGAATAAATGCGCGAAGTTAACAGCAATTGAAAGATTACCATTGGATAATATCACCTTTATTTTTTATTACGGCTGAAATCCTTTGGGGCATAGTGTTAACCAAGTTTTGGCAAAAATTTGGTGTAAAACAATCCCATATTTATTTTCTTGATGCTTTTGTCTCAGTTCGGTGATTGTACGAGCAGGATGTTGTCGTAGAACCTTTTTCATCTCGTGTCACAAAGTTTCAATAGGTGACAGATCTGGACTGCTAGAAACCCATTTCAAAAGTGGTACATTATTTTCTTCCATCCATTTTATAGTCTTTTTTGAGGTATGGCACGCTGCACCATCTTGTTGAAACACAAAATCTTGGCCGGATGTCAGACATTCTTCCATCACTAGTAAAAGCGATTCTTCTAAAATTGCCAAATATTTGTTTGTAGCCACATTTCCATCATTAAAATGAAGTTTTCCTAATCCTTTTGATGACGTACTGCCCCAGACCATAATGGATGCTGGAAATTCACTCAGTCAACATGGAATGCTTCATTTTTTTTGCGAATAACTCTACTGCGACTGTCACCAACACAAACTTCGAATCGGGCCTCATCTCTCCATTGTATTGCACACCATTGTTGAGGTGTCCATTGTCTATGTTCTTTAGCCCATCTAAGCCTTTGCAGTGGAGTTAATAGTGGCTTTTATTTGACCTATAAACAAGTTGTGCAACTTTAGGGTTTTTACTTCACTTTTTTTATAAGAAAACTTACCTTGCAAGCGCTAAATCCCAGTTTCTGGGCCTCTTTATGAGTTGTGGACCTCGAAAGAGCTCTTGTATTTAACATCATTATAAAGGGAATTGAAAGACCGTTAAAATAAGGTATCACTCGACCCCCCTTTCCATTTAAGATTTTGGGGGTGCTGGCACCCCCGCTTAGGGGGCTGCACGTGCTAACGTGATTTTTTGCCAAACTTGTGTCCCCCTTGAAAACAAAATCGACGGGTATGAGCGTTTTTTCAAAAAAAAACTGAGCTGCCAGAAAATGCGTCTGTTTCGTTTATTATCGCTTATTATCTTCAAACTAAGCTACAGATTTTCCTCTATTATAACCAACAACACATCAGGAAGCCTTTTAAACAAAAGAACTAAAGTCACGTTTGCGCATTCCACTGCGCACCTCTAAATCTAACCTCTACCTCCTGGTGCAGGCATTAAAGATTAGCATGTGATAAGTGATGACCCGCGTAAAATTGACCTATACGATGCCTAACATTCCTCAAGATGTGATATAATGGGTAGACTGAGCAAGAGCACGCCGTCGGTGAGTGTCAGCTACAGGAAGTTGGTGGAAGACTATACCGGAAGTGCGAATAGTGGAGCGAAGTACTCTAACTGCGGCACCACCAGTGCCAGTTTTGACAGTCTTGGCAAGATTATGCCTGCACCCGCACCTGGTGATCTGTTCTCGTACTCGTGTCATCATTGCGGACATAGGCAGAAACTACAGGTTTGTATACGAAACTCTTTTACTCATAAACAATCTACTACAATCCAGCTACAACAGTGCTTATGCAGAAAGAACGAGTCAGAATACATTTCCTATTAGATTGGAAGATACTTTTGTAATAACGGCTAACTTCAGATTGCGCATTGATCTAACAAAGTACGATAATTAAACAAGAATGTCGAGTACCTGCCTTCAAGTAGCCCGAAGGGTTACCCGCTTAATTCATTCGAATCGTTTTCGCCTATTAATTACAACAGCCATTCACCTATTAAAATTAATTATCCAATTATATCCAGCGTGCTGCATTACTAATAATGGGGAACTTCGAAAGAACAAACGCGCACAGACCTGTTAAGCCTACAAATGGATAATGTCGCGGTCTACGTGGAATGTCTTGAGGAATTCGTGAGATACTCTCACAAGAATTCAATGTTACGAACTCGAATGACGTGGGATGGGAGATCTGTGGATAAGAATACGAGTATACGGGACACAAAACGGATATGCTATATTGAGTTTACCATCAACAAAGGATATTATTTCTTAATAACGATCAATGAATTCTGACTTGGTAGGTGTGATTTCCTTTCGATTTACGAAATCGTAATAGTATACTAAGTGACATATAAATCCGAACACCCAGTTTAAATGGTTTTATTTTAATAAAAGTTGGTGAATGTATTTATCTTACTGTAAATAACAAGTGAAAACATTTTCAGCCTTATCAGTTGGACATTCCGGTTTTAATACTGCTTTTTTTTTAATTCACTAACGCTCTAAAAATGAATATTTCAGCCGCAGTAAAGAATCAACGTTGGCGGATTTTGGTTCTTGACATCCTTTACGATCGGTTACGATGCCTAGAGTACGGAGACCTGTACGATTTCGTCAACTTAGTGAGTTTGATAGGGGCCGTATAGTGGGACTCCGGGAAGCTGGACTTTCTTTTCAGGCAATTGCAGTTAGAGTGCAAAGAAGTGTAGATACTGTGGTTAGGTGTTGTCAGGCATGGCTTCGAGATTTAAACTGGGTGTTCGGATTTATATGTCACTTAGTATATATATATATAAAAAAAATAGGAAAATAATGGGCAAAATCCGCAAAAAGTGGATTTGAGCAGAATAGGATAGGTAACCCGAGCGATACGTATTTCTGCTGGTTGGCTTCATCAGGCCCGAAATGAATGCACATATGCAACTACAAAAGTAGAGACACATGCCCATACATCCGGATACGGGTGTAACCTGAGGAAACAAAGATGGAGAGGAAAAAATAGTTGCATATGTGCATTCATTTCGGGCCTGATGAAGCCAACCAGCAGAAATACGTATCGCTCGGGTTACCTATCCTATTCTGCTCAAATCCACTTTTTGCGCATTATTTTCCTATTTTTGTTATATACCTTTCTCCGCATGATAATTTACTGTTTATATATATATATATATATATATGACGTGGTCATTGTCGTCTAGACCAGTTAGGTGAAAAATTAAAGCTTCCGCCTTTTGTTGGGTACTTCGACAAGATTTAAGCAAAGAGGACTCTTTATACTTTTTTTAATTCTCTCTAGCTTTCAATGGACTTTGCCATCATCATCAGGAGCTGCAATTACAATGATAACAGTAGCAACAAAGGTGTAAAATGAATTTAAATTGACTCAACTTACAGTAGTATGTGAGGATGTTGCTAATTGTTGTTTACGTATAGGATGAGGGAAACGTCCAGTAACATGGTGAGAGCTGGATAGATTGTACAATAGTCAAACTTATATAAAATATGACAAGAACAAGTTAAAAACAGATTAAAAATTATTTAAAAAATTAGAGCATTACATCGTGAAGCCACCTGATGATTGCACAAATTAGTGGTCATGGAATGATGAATTGATGAGTGACATGAAACCCTTTGACAGAAGGCCGAAGGATGTCAATGTCAGTATTGAAAGATGGAACGAATTGTGGGCGTGTGTCAAAACGTTGCCAAATCACTTCAGATGATGAGATTTTCAGAATTTTATGTTAGAATTTGTTAAACCGACCAGAGGCAGTTGAATAAACTATATTATTATTAATGGGAATTTAAATTAACAATTATTAATAAATCGTGAGGAGAGAATTATTATATTTTGAGTGGAATGAAATTTACTGGTGGAATCGGCCAAAACACAGATTCTAATTATGGTTGTGAAGAGTTGAAATTTGGGGAGATATGTAAGTTCTCCTATTTTTCGCAGTTTAGCAAATATGAGTAAATGACACTCAGTTGTTTAACATCTGTCTTTTTGTTGATACAGTTGTTATTCATGAAAATGTGGGACATTTCCAGGAATAAACGTTTGGAAAGGTGTTTTTCTTTATCAAGAACTTTGATACTTGTGTAATTCATAGAATGCCCTGTTGTGTTAACATGAGATGCTAGAGCGCATCTTTCAGGATGAAGTCTAGCATCACTTTTGTGATGTAATCCTTCCTTTCCTTCCTATACGTAAACAACAATTAACAACATCCTCACATACTACTGTAAGTTGAGTCAATTTAAATTCATTTTACACCTTTGTTGCTACTGTTATCATTGTAATTGCAGCTCCTGATGATGATGGCAAAGTCCATTGAAAGCTAGAGAGAATTAAAAAAAGTATAAAGAGTCCTCTTTGCTTAAATCTTGTCGAAGTACCCAACAAAAGGCGGAAGCTTTAATTTTTCACCTATATATATATATATATATATATATAATATCAAAACAACAAGAAAAATGCAGTTAGAAGGGATTTTGTTATCAACATTTTCATGTATTTGATTTACAATTTTAACTATTACGTCCGACGTAGACTTCCATTCTGTTAATCCATACTGATTTTTACTTAAAATTTAGAATTGTGTGAGGTATCGAACCATTCTAGTAGATGAAACTTTTCAATAAATCTTCCTGTACTGGATATTATTATTAAGCATTATTATTTAGCATTATTTTCTGAAAAATTTGAAATTCTGAGTGCTCTGTTAGATAAACTGCTAAAAATAAGATATATGTCCAATTCCCCACTCAAATGTACCAATATTGGAACCCTACATGACATAATGATAGTTACCATTGCAGACGTAGCGTGTATTTTTTGCACACTAACAGATTCACATAAACCTACGTCTTACGGACCTAAACTTAGATTTTAAAAATACTGGGTCTAACCACAGCTTATGGTATCATCTTGGATCCGTCTCTGTACTGGTGGAAAAGTCAAATGGACAGAATCTTGTGCTCTATATCCATACATGCATATACATGGGCTGCGGATACACTGTTAATACCGAGACAAATTAACTTGATCAAATTTACATTTTAACTTGTCGCAATGGATAGAACGAGAAATCATTCGCTAGTCTGAAATGGGATTTTCATTTCAGCCGGAAACATAGAATTGCTTAGGGAACTTGGTTTATTTCTTAATTGTCATCAGGAGAAGGTGTATGCTAATATGATATTTGGAGCACGTTTGGTATGTTGCTTTTCGGTTATTTGCCCTACTGAGCGAGGGCCGTGGCAAATGCTTGTTCCGGAAGTTGTTGTATCCAGTATACAACTTCTTCCCGTCCAAGTGATTGTGCACGCGTTAAGGAATACCTCAGTACCGATTGCCGGGTGGCGGTACAAGTCCGCCAACGGGCCACTTTAGGTCTATTTAACATCACTAACACGTAAAAAGAAGGTGGTAGACAAGGACCAGTCGACCGAGGCAGTACCACCCGCTAGCTTTTCCCAGAGTGTCTTATAAATGTCCGCATGTTTCCACACCTAAGCTATGCAGTCGGTTATCTACCAAAACAAACAAACTAATGATGATGGATCCCTCGAGCACTAAAAACTCCGGACGTAAACTCACTCCACTCTCGGAATGTCCGGGTGGAGGGTGGGCTCGAGGGAACAACATCGAAGATAAAATTTGTTTTTCGAACATCTGCGGGATCAACAGCAACATTGATGCTGTTCATCACTACCTGCAATCCAATCGTCCCGCCGTGCTTTTCTTGGCGGAGACAAAAATCTCAGAGACTGCACCGATCAACCATCTCAACTTCCCAAACTACGAGGTGCACTCCAATCTGAGAAAGAACGGGGGAGTTGTGGCTTTTGTCCGCAGCAGTCTTTCCTACTCCAGGGATCTTTCTTTGGAATCAGACCGGAAGGACATTCTGTGGCTTCGCCTCAACTCCAAAACATCACCCAAATTTATTTGCTGCCTTTATCGCTCTCCCTCGAACCATAACTGGGATGACCTACTCGAATACCTCGCCGTCCAGATCGACTTCCTGAACATCAATCATCCCGCTTCAGAGGTAGTTCTTCTCGGTGATTTCAATGCCCATAATGAGCTTTGGTTGGGCTCAAATAAGACCGATGCAGCAGGTCGTGCAGTCGAAGCGTTCGCTCTTACTCAAGGGCTGACCCAGCTGGTGACGAGCCCTACTTTTTTCCCCCGCGTCTCGTCACACGCCAGTAGCCTGCTGGATCTCTTTCTGACCACGCATCCTGCCCCTTACAGCACTGCTGTCCTGTCCCCCCTGGGTAACTCAGATCACGGTGTTGTGGAGGTTAGGTTTCGGTCAGAAGCCGTTGTGGCAGCAGAAACTCGCACAGGCCGCAAAACTTGGCATTACGGACATGCCGACTGGGAGGGGCTCAGAGACTTCTTCTCTAGCTTTCCTTGGAGAGATGTCTGTTTCACTGACGCGGATGCGTCGTCTGCCTGTTCTTCAATAACCGAAATTATCCACGTCGGAATGGAGGAATACATCCCTCACACAGTGAAAGTTCCTAAACCAGGGTCCAACGGCTGGTTCAACAAATCGTGTGACACTGCTCGCCAGCAGAAGATCAAGGCTCACAGAACCTACTTACAAAACCCCACTGTAGAGAACAGACAAGCCGACGTCGAGTCCAGAAACAAATATAACGAAGCGGTTCGCAATGCCAAAACCCAGCATGATATAAAAGTTAGGCACAGGGTAATGTCGCAGCGCAATGGCAGTCGGTCTTTCTGGACGCTGGCCAAGCAGATTGAAAAGAACTTCTCACACAGTAGCCTTCCACCACTTACGTGTCAGGATGGAACTATTGTATTCGACTCAAAGGCCAAGGCGGAAGTGCTAGCCAAGATCTTTGCTGCCAACTCCACCATGGACGTCCCCACCAACGCCCAAGTGCCGTCAATTCAAAGGGTTCCCCACACTATGCGGGAGGTAACATTCAGGCATAAGACCGTAAGACGAGTGCTCTTGTCGCTCGACATCAACAAAGCTTCTGGTCCGGACTTGATTCCTGCCATTGTACTGAAGAGATGTGCAGCTGAGCTTGCTCCAGTTCTTTCGCGTCTCTT